ACTAAAATGTTAGCTTTACATGAACTACGTAAAGCCCATCCCTGGAAGTAATAAACTATCCATTAAAGTTTCCTTACCTATTTAGTGACGTTTCCTGATAAAGTCCCATTTACAAGTGCAGATTACATTTAATATGCATGGCTATAACAACATTAACTTGTACTTTATCCTGTATTACTGGAGTTGTCCTTGAACTCCTCATGTGGGTAAAGGGTAAATCCAGATACCTTTAGTCACTTTTTTTCCACAAGTCTTATGGAATCAACTGAAGATTATTAAAGAATGAACAAAAGGCTGAGGCTGCATACAGGGCTAAAACAAGGGATACAATCAGGCAGTGGAAATTCAGAGCACCTGTGTGACTGAAAGGACTCCTGCTTTTCTAAGTATCCCCTTCAAAACATTCAAATGTTTTAGCTGCTTTGTCAGTAAGGTTAAAACAGTATAATCTCCTAAGGTGGTTAGATTTATATTGTCTGAAATGTGATTCTACAATTCTGTTTAATTCACATACTGGAAGGAGAATATGTCCTTGATGTGACTGTGTACACACAAAGAACACAGTTGGAACAGTCTATAAAAAATATTAACATCACTAAAACTGACAGAGGCGCTTTGCTACAAATTTGTACATAAACAAGGACTAGTGAGAGCCCCATGCAGAGCTCCTACATTGTGGGCTAAGAAAAGCAACACAATCACAGGTTGAGAATGGTACCACTGAGTGTGAGATGGGGGTTGTTAATTCAGGTTGACTGTGGGTCAGTTGCGTTTAAGTTCTTTATGGACATAAAGAACTTTTCCAAAATTCAAAAAAAAAAAACTACAATTTTCTAAAACATCCAAGACCACGACAGTTTGGTCTGCCTTAACAATGCTGTATGGGAGACAAGCCACTCTGCACCAAAAATTGCTTTTCACTTTAAAAAGTACACGCGTGCACTTTCTGAAGTCAGACTCACTGCTGTGCTGCTGGCAGTCCTCTCACCAGCATTTCATGCGTGCATTTTCCCAACAGTACACACTCTCCAAACTCTGGGTCATAAAACCTGACACGGGGTGTACATAGGGACCACTACCACCAGACAGCTCCAAACCTGCAGTTGGAAATGTGTTTTGTTTTTTTTTTTTCTTCCAAATTATCAAATTCCAGAGCCATTAGTCAGACATGCCACCTCTCACCTCGTAGTACCAGAGCTGCAGACAATCACCCTCTTCCTTATTGCCTGATCAATGATTCTGTCTGATCACCTCCTTCCTTATCGTCTGGTCCTTCTTCCTACATATCTCATTGACCACCAGTCAAATATGCAAATAACACAAGTTTTACCATGTCTTACATGACAGACATATTAAAAGTACCAGCAGACATAAAAACAACATTAGAAAACAGAATAATCACTTGTAACAATGTGCATTAAATGCATGCAAGGCATTGTCACTACCTTTATCCAGCCCATCAGTACTGTTAACCTCACCTACTTAATCCACAGGAACACACCTAGCTCTGGTGCAAAAGGAAAATGAGGTAGGAAACACCTCGTGATCTCAGAAAAAGAGAAGACAGGGACGGAACAACAGAATCAAAGAAAAGCAGCATTTCACCCTTGTAACTGCAGAATCCGGTTTTATAATAATAATTGTTTGCGCGGCTGACTTCCTTTAACACCTGTGACCCTGCTTGTCCCGGCCTCGCTGCCTGCTGGAAACTTGGCAAAAGACGAGAGAAGAGATATTAGGGAACCAGCGCGACATCCTGAGAGGGGCCATAAAGTCCAAAGGTTGCACAGAATTGCCAGGAGCAGTCTGATAAACTAAGGAAGCATGTGGCTCTGAGGAGACACACTGCTGTGCCCAAGTACATTATGTCCAGCCTCTGCGGGCTGCACCCAACGTCCCGCACGCTCAAAAGAGCACGGTAAGCAGGGACCTCTCTCGCTGGCCTTTCCCAACCAACCCCATTGGAAAAGACGTATTTAAGCCCCTTTCTGAAATGAGTATCTGACCACCGAGTACACTGCACATGCCAGAATTTCACAGATCTTAAATTTGAAAGACATTCTCCATCATTTTTTCAAATTAACCGAGGGTGATTTGTTAATTTAACAAAAAGAAAAAAAAAATCCTATGTAAATCCCCTTCTGAATTAGCATATTCAAGCCTTTCCAAAATCTGGCTCTGGGAAGGAACTTGTCCTTAAAAATCTATCAGACTGTAACTAAGCTTGTAACTTGACACGTGAAATAAATAAACCAATAATCAGATCCTTCAGAAATGTTCAATTAAACCTGTAGAAATTTCTAATAAAATGTTTAGCATTCAAAGAGCTTTTCTTCGGGAGGAGAGTACAACAGCTATGGTTTCATGTTAGGAGGAGTATGGGGCATTTATAACCAAGCTTTTTGCCCCTCTTTCCTATCCACCGCTGGCTTAGTTCTACTAACACAACTTTTTGTGAAGCCGCGCTGTGGAGCTGAGCAGAAAACTCTTTTCTGGCTGTGGGAACAAATCAAACCAAGAACACAGCATGGCCCCCGCAAAGAACTGCGCAAGCACAGGCGAAGAGGCAGCGCAGGAATGGCAGCCAGGGGAGGGAGGAAAAAGGACATGAATTGCTCTGGGCTCATATTGCTGCTGACTACTTTCTATTATAAAACCATAACCTAATACGCTTTCAAGACTACGGCTCTGAAGTGCCTGGCATGGCGCACCTCCTTCCCTGGGCAGCACCCTACGGGGCTCCATAGAGGCACAGCACCGTGCCTGTACGGGGCGGCAGGCTCAGCCACCAGGCTCTGTTACGCTTTCCACTCTTCATAAACAGGAGGATAACCCCAGCAGGGCTTGTAAACGCTGTCCTTCCTCGAGAAGCAGCAGCAAACCCCCCAAGCAGGGCTCTCCGTGTAAGCGAAACGCCTGCCCCGGGAGGGCTGCCCTCCCCGGGGAGCTCGGCTGTGGGAAGCGGGAGCGAGGAACTGCCTTTTTAGGACTCTGGCTGAGCGGAGCCGGCAGGCAGCAGGGCTCCCGCAGCAGCTCCCGAGCCTTTTAAGGAGAAACCCAGGTATTTCGAGGCTATCAGGAGCCGGGCCAGCCCCGCAGCAAGGTGAGGCGAGGCGAGGCCTGCCACAGGCCTGAGGGACCCTCGGCCGCGGCCACCCTCCTGCTGGCTGCAGGGCGACAGCCCCACGCCGCCGGCCTGCGAGCACTTCCAATAGGCCTTATTAGGAAGTCAAGGAGCCTCATTAATCGTTTTCCTATCTGTAAAAGCCAGATGGTTTGTGGGTGAACCGTGCTTGATTTTAATGTGACATTTCAAAGGCGTTCGAGGCGACGTTTTGGAGCGCGAGCCCCTAATGGCAGGCATCTTATTAACTGCCTGAGGAACAGGGCAGATTTTCAGAGGTGGGGAGCAACTGGATTTTCTGAAGACTTCAACAGAAGGGGTGGGATACTCAGAGCCTCCAAAAATCCCAATTTATTTAAGTAAATTTTAGGAACACACATGATTATGACTCCTCCCCATTTGACTAAAATTAAGAGCGCTGGACAGAAAGCAAAGAGATTTTAGCCTTAGCGATCTCAAATTATATTACTTTGTTTTGCTCTCCAGACAGATAAAACATGTAATTAAAAGCAATCTACTTCACACCAAATCCATCTATACAGGACATATGGGTAAGCACCCTGACCATGAATTGTCCCATATTGATGTCCTTTCTACTTTTCCTGGCTCTAGCTTTCTCAAGGAGGAAGAGGAGGCTGTGAGCAAAATAGGAAAACAAACAAACAATTTCTCCCCACCAATGTTTATTTTTGAATTTGTTTTTAAACATTTCCTAGAAAATGGCAGCAAAAAGATGGTCTTGAACATTTTTCTTTGGGGAAAAAAAAAAAAAAAAAAAAAAAGTTCTCTTCCTTTAGATATGATTAAAAAGGCACTTACAGAGTAATATTAAAATCAGCCCATACCATACAGGAATAAACACAGCATCCTAGTTTTGAACAGGAAATAGCAAAGTGGAATTCTAGGGATTACCCCTACATTTTGCCATCTTAGTTTCTCATAGTTAATCTTTTACAACTGCCTGGCTTAAAATGCTTAGCAGTGTAATTTTTAATCAAATTTAGCGAATTTTAACCCAGAGACATCCGAATGATTTGATACTTCTGGTCTGTACCACATTTTAAATCCACAGATGACAAGCACCTGCTCTACATCACGAACTATTGCCATCATTAGTGCCTTCAGGTAATAACCTCAGCAGGGAGACCAAAACTTTGATTAATCTTGCCACATCCCACTTGCAACATATTGGGAAGAAAACATGGGTGAAGTACTAATTACACATGGATAATCACAGGGCATCGGTTTCTAGGATTCTTTACATGATTCTTTACATCAGGAGAAACAAGTACACAGAAAACAGGAACAGTTGCATTAAAAACAAACTTATTCAGTATGAGCTGAGCCATTGTGTAGGACTTACCCCAGTTGCTGATGGGGCTGGGATTTCATTTCTACAGCTCCAAAGGAGCACTATGGTAGGACTATTTTCATAAAAGGAATAAAAGCTTTGACACCGGGTTTCATATTGTAAATTTCTCCTTTAAAATAACTTGCTTGCCAAAGCAGTTCAGCTGCCAGAAAGGGAGAAAAGCAGGCAAACTATTCCCTTAAAAGCAATGAGTGTGCTGTGCTGCGCAGGTACATGAGGCATTGCTCCAGAACTGGGGAACATTGGCTCATTAGGAGCAATTAAAAAAACTCTGAGGGGATTTTAAAAACAACAACTTCCAAAAACAAAACATGCATATATACCACATGCATTTGTTTATGCAGCTGTAATGAGTGATGAAATCCATTTATGAGCTGAAGTCACAAGATTCTAAGCAGGTCTTTGTTTAATCTCAGTAAGTCATGACATTTCCCCACTACTTATAATAATGTGATTTGGATCAACATTTTCAAACTTATGCACCTGGTTTTTAACAGTGCTTACCGATTGCACTTCTCATCTGCTTCACTGGAGACTGAACAGCCAGTCTACTTCTGAGCCACCACTTCGATGAAGCATCCTAAACACAGACACAGAAACTTTGTTTTAGCTTAAAATATGCACGTAATTTTTGAATTCAGCATATATTCTGCAACTCTCACTCAAACTGAGACTCTATGCAACCTGCAAAGAGTGTAAACACAAATCAATGAGCCCATTAGTGGGATGAATACTTACAGCATCAGCCTTTCTACAACCAAAAAGTCTCTCTTTCTGTAACAAAATAAGTCTTTTGGATGCCCTTAAGAGACCTAAGAACATTTGCTATAGACAATGGCTTTCCCTCCAGCATGTTGCTGTGACTTGGAAGAATAAAATGATGAGAAATGCAGCAGATAGCTGCTTACATCAGTGCAGCATTAGTGCCCTGAATAACAAAGGCAGAACAGAGTAAGCAGGGGAAAAAAAAATTAACCCTAATAAGTTACTTATATTCCGAGTGTTTATAAAGCATGCTAGACTCTAGATTATGTAGCTATAAGAGTACAGGAATCAGTAATGCTGCATATAATTCAACACCACATTTTTAGCTTTGATATTAAGAAAAACAACAACAAAAAAATCAACAGCTTTTGCCACCGCTGCTTTTGCCATTGCTCTTCTATTACCTTTCCAAACATATCTGATGTTTTGTGAAGATCAGATCAAAACAGAATCAGAATTGAGTTCCATGTTAATATAAACAGACTGACTTTTTTTTAATCTTTCTTTTAAGGAAGGAAAAAAGATTAGACTTTTGATCTGAACAAAAAAGAATCTGACTAATGCACAAGAGCAGGACATCCCAGGCATAGAAAAAAGTCTCTCGGTCTTTAAGGTCTTAATGAAATGTTGCTCTCTACACCCATTTCTCTATTCTGTTTCTCGTGTTTGACCCACTCAACTATTACTCTCCAGAGTCCCAAATTAGACAGGAAAACAGGTAGATTTTACAACATATCATCGATTTAAGATGGCAGAAGAATATAAGGAAATATAAGAAAATGCACAGATCTTTCACCTAGAACACTGTGCTCCAAGCCGCCTCTTGTTTACACTCATAAAAGCAAAAAGCACAAGACAACTTCAGCAGCTTGGACCTGAACTTGGGAGGGCTCTGAAAAGGCCAAAGCCAAAGATGCACAAGAAGCAAAATCAATATATCACCTAACTGGCAAAAAGGGAATATGTCCCTGTACCTAGCACTTTTTATGACCCGTTTTTGTTTATTTAGGAAAATAATATGCACCGTTGTCAGTGTTTTTCCCAAGGTGGAAACAAAATAACCCTCAAATGATTATTTTGAGGGGGCACCTTTTCTGTCATCTTCAGACACGCACTGGATGTGGTTTTATATTACATGCAAGTACTTGGGAAGAGAGACAGTATTTGCAGTAGAATAGTATAAAGGCTTTGCTGGCTTCCATTTTCTTAGGATGGTTGCATCACTCAAGTGAAAAGGTATGCAAGCTGTATCATCTTACTGCCACATCATTTTATATATGCTATATCTTTTCATGGGAAAAAAATAATCAGATGCGGTATTCCTACCTAAATTGGGATTATATTTTATATTCCACTTTTTCCAGTGTCCTGTTCATTTTCCTTTAGATCTCTGGGATCTGCTGTGCCAGTCTCCCAGAAAGAAAATGACTGTAAGTACTTATGTCAGAGTGCCAACTGAAAAACATGTATCAGAAGAAAACATTATTTAATGTGCTGGTCCACATGAACTAAATCCAGCTGAAAGGCTCTGAAAAAGCACATTAAAAAATAACTGTAAGAGCAGTAAGTAAACAGTTCCCTTACTGGATTTGCTATAACCGACTAAAATCTTTCTTCCCCTTTCCACATTAAAGGATACCCCGAAAACCACATTTTGCATATTTTATTAGCTCAAACCTTTTCTAACATGGTTCCCAGGGCAGACCAAGTCTAACAAACTTTTAAAAAATGAATCTAGCATTGCTCTAAAACAGCAGTATTAGGATCTGGTGGAGGGCGAGCAATGGGGCTATCAATCAATAAATGTCTGCTCTTATTCCCAGACCTTGAAAGGAATTCTAAACAATTTTTAGCCTCTGAGATTCACAATTTATTGAACCTGAAGTAGCACACTTCAGCTTTACTAATCAATGTTACCCATCTCATGCTTCTGTCTGCTTGCAGAGAGAATTGCACATTGGGAGAAGGAAAACATTTTTGTGACTCTTTAAATAAATCACAGTTGAAAGTTTCTTGAAAGGTCAGAAAGCTAGGAGTTAGCAGGCAGAGGGCAGGTAAGACGGTCAGAGGTGTATGGAAGTACAATCTATCAGATTGATAGCACCACTAAGTATATGGTACAATTATATCTTATCTTCCCAGCCCTGCAACCAAAATAAACCACACTGCAGTCTTGGAGTCTGATTCTGTTGTCTTTAAGCACACACCCCTTAGGGTGGTGACCCAGGACACACCACACATCTTTTACTTCATGTAAGACAAAATCAAAACAAATATAATCAGTATTTTTCCTTTTAGGACTCTCACGGAGACTCTTTGATGTGTTTTCCCTAATCGTTTTCTCTTTTTAATCATCACACTGAGGGGTTGCTCTCAGATTATAATGGTCTAGTTTTTATGTAACCTCTTCCATGCGGGCGCATTCCCAAACTCCCAACACAGCAACTGCTGTAACAGTACACAGCAACTCTACACCGAAGAATACCTTGTCCAAATGAAACCAAAAGGGAAATTTAGATGAGTACATTCTGCTTAGGTTGGAATTTTGGCTCAGACACAGGAGTTAACACTCCCAGCCTTACAAAAAGCAGCTCTAATGGAGATACTGAAAATGAAAGTATCTCTTCTAGTTCAAAACTGAAAATCTGGCCACCTCGATAGCATGGCTCTCTGCTCTGGGAAATTTTACTTATCTATATGCATTCACGAAGGGGAAACCCTTGGCTCTGTGAGTTAACAGGGGTTTGCCATGCCCTGACTAGACCTGAGAGTCGACCAGTAAGATTTAGGAACCACGGTATAAAACCAGTTACATTTCTAATTTCTACCCAGCTACTTGCCAATTTGTCTTTGGGGCAATTATCTTAATTCTCTTTAGCAATATCTCTACTTACACAGAGTATTTTTAAATACATAATCACATCCTTTTCAATATTACCTAGGAGGTTCGTTGGCATACTAGTTTTAAATGTTTCCAGATCCACTATTAATAAAATACCTGAACTTTAAATGGGATCTGTGCAAAGCCTGCACAACTGGAAGACCTATAAAATGCCCTGTAAGCAGCTGCCAGCGGATTCATGAGGTTCGAGAGTTAATTTCCATTTATCAGCTGGGATTCAGTGACACCACTGCTGCTCATTTCTGTTGCTCTCCGCTGTGCTCTGTCAAGATACCGCACACAGAGGAAGCAGGAGCTCAGACCAGAACTGGAAACATCTCCTTCACGTGGGAAGGTGCCCTGCTGAGAAACTGCTTATTGAACCTGACAGTGAGGGCGTAAATAACATTAGAGGGAGTGCTCACGCATGTACTCCCAATAAAGGGGAGGACAAGGCGGTGAAAGTCAGAGCTATTACGAGACAAATACAAATTAAAGATACTGGTTTTAATCTCCGGGGTACTAAAACATTTTTGAGAGCTCCCAGTATTAGGGGGGGAGGAAGGAGGGAAATAAAAGGGAGTGGGGGGAGCAGTGAGCTCTGCTGAAGATTTTTTTACAGTTTGTATCACCTTTTTTTTGGGGAAAAAAAAAAAAAAAAAGATTATAGAAAAAACAACAGTGGATTTTGAAGCCAACAGCAAAGCACTTGCTTGATAAAACTTTCTAAAAGGTAGCTTGCTCTTTGCTAAAACTTCCCAGGAAGCACTCTGGGCATGTGCTTTAGCAGACAGCTTTGCATACGAAATGCTGTTTGGTTCAGAAAAGTTGTGTATTTTTACCAGTGTGGTTACTGCTGTCAATTGTCCCCTGATCACTGATCTGTGAGAAGCAAAAAGTAGTCAGAGCTACCACAAAGATAAAAGCACAGCTATTGATGTTCATGGGATTTTTTATGTCCCCCTTTCTTACCCTGAAACTTTAACCCCTTAGTGGCTGCTGCCATCTATACTGCCTGTTTGCCTGCCCCTGTGGGCCACCCGGAAAGCACCAACACTCTAAGCAGAAAACTGCTCTTGCAATTTGTGCAGAATTTCCTTCAAACGACAGCTCGCTGCCCACTACCACTTCCCAGCCAGGTATGTTGTTCTATCACCACCCATATCAAATTCAAGCGCCGAGACGTGTTTACAGTACGTGCAGCGGCTCAGATAGGCTGGGCTGTTGCAATCCTGTTGCAATCCTGCGCAGAAAACCGACCGTTCACACTGGCATGCTGCTCCCACGCCCTCCCCTTTGCAGGCTTTACATTAACTCGGTGACACCCTGCTAGGCACAAGGTTTATTTACACAACACACAGTCTTGAGACGAGCCTTTGTTTGACAGCAGCGTTGACAGGCTTCTGGAGCACCACTGCCTGTAGTAAAGGTGCACTAAGACCCAACTGAGGACCACGTATGAATGAAACGCTTTGAAAGCCGCCTGATTGAGTTTCCAGCTGCAGCACAATTCTCCTTGAGCCAGGAGCTGCTGGGACAAGCTAGCAAAGCTCCTGGCTCTCAGGGAGAGCAGTGAATTGCACTAACGTGGTGCTTCCACGAGGACTTTAATCTGGCGTATGCTGGCGACACCCTGCACAGAAGCAAATCTCTCCTTCCCCAGCCATTCAGGCTTTTTGCTGGGGTAAGATTTGAACTGGATGCATTTCCCAACGCGTTTCACCTCCTGGTTGTGTCAGCGCAAGGGAGGGGACAGCGTGGGAGCAGGAAGAGGGCAGGACTGCCTCTTTTGTCAGCAGAGCCGGCCCAAAGCACTTGGGGAACTAATGACGTAGTAAACTGTGCTGATTTACATCTGTTCCTTGGATTTCCTTAAATACCATTGCTATGCATTTTAAAACATAGCACAGACGTAAAAGCACGCAAGAACATTTAGGTGCAGATGTGTTGATGGAGGTGTAAAAGGGGCTGTAAGCATCACCTCCACGGTGATGCCCCATCACGAGAGCAGGGAGTGGCTGTTGCACTCACCCCCTTTCCCAAAGGGTGTAAAATTCAGAGGAGTTCCCCTGTTTCACATGGTATCTTCTCGTCAAAGTTTTAGACTAAGTATCAAGACCTTTTCTTCAAACACACTGTGCAATTTTGGAGAGGTGTTGGTCATTGTACCTCAGCTAACCCCTTCTGGGAAACTGACATGTAATACTTCCTCCTACACAGCATTTCTGACATTAACAACTCCAAACCATTGTCAGAAGCTCTCATAGCAAGAACTCTAAATGAAGTGGGGAGGGGAAAGAAAACAATAAAAATAAAAACAACAATTAAAAAATAATTAAAAATAATAAAAAAATAAAAATCAGGTCCATAGCAGCAGGATAGACAGAAACTATTTGGTCAAAATGTCAAGAGTGACCAGAGAGTGAAAATGGCATAAAACTGTGCCAGTCAGTGTATGCTCTACAGAGTTCTGGGTCAGATTCAAAATGCATTACAAGGCTGACGAACCAATAAAAATGTCAATGATTGATATCCTAAAAGCAGGCAGGGCCAGTAACAAATATTTTATACCAGTAAGTTAATGCTAGATATTCTTCCAGATGAAATTCCATTCCTTTTCTGTACCTATTTTCTTAATGCATTTTTAGAAATAAAAGTAGTTCATACCACTCGCATGGCATTTTTTTTCCACATAGAGCTTCATGCTTTACTACAGCCTTGGTCTCGTCATACCCATTTTACAGGCAGGCAAACCAAGCCACAGAGATCCAAAAGTGACTTGAGGTCATTCAGCATGAAGGCCAAACCAGGGAAAGCTGCGGTTCTATCCCATTTGAGTTTACTGGGTTCTCCTGTTTTTCTCTACTAGCACACAGAAAATAAAATTACTTCTCATTCTACTTGTCAGGCAGCATTAAAGAGGTGAACATATTTTTGCTTCACCTTGTAAATTCTTTTGGTTGTCTTGATGGGATATATATTCCCCACCACTGCTGCTACAGGGTTAGGTAAATGCGTTGCAGCCCAAGAACATAAACGTGAAATGGATTACTCTTCGTATTAATATTTATATAACCATCTAGGGCTGGAATTGGCTATCGTTGAATTGACCTCAGATCTTTGACATAAATGCCTATTTGAAGCACCTGGCAATAGGCTGTAAGCATCCACACCCAGAACTTCTTTGTCCGGGCTTGCAGCTTTGCCAGCCACACGCCTTTTCCTACACTGACTGCAAGGAACGCAATAGCTGGGGAACATCAGCACAAAACATGCTTATAGAGAACGAGGCTGTGCTGTACCATTAGCTCTTACAACACGTGTGCTTAACCTCTCTCACATGACTTACCTGAGCCCACAGCCCATTCTTGGCTGAACAGAAGTCTCTGCAAATATGTGCACGTTACAGCTGGTACCCAGATCTCTAAATACCACGCAGCCAGTTTTGGAATGTCTTTCTAGTTGTGCTCCCTAAAACAAACAAACAAACAAACAAAAAAACAGCTGAATTTCAATTAGCAGCCATCACAGCCCTTAGGCGTTTGCTTTATTATTGCCCTTTTATCCTCAAAAATTTCCTTGATCTCATGAGCTTGTTTCTAATATATTCAAATGTTATGGCTCTTTATGTGTTTCATATGTTCTCAACAGACTGTGTAAACAGTCCTGTGAGCTGACCAGCGCGTCTGCCAAGTGCACTGCCTGCTGTTCACGCAGCGTTTCCTCTAGCATGGATGTGAGCAGTGCTCCTGAACACGCTATAAAAAGCAAGAGCTCGGGCAGGGATCAGTACCAGGCCTGGACAGCATTTCCCATCTCCACCTCCGCTCTGACACAAGGCAAGGCACAGGCACTGCAGGGTCGGCAGCTGCCTGTAATTTTTACTGAATGAAAGAGGCAAAAAGTGCAGTTTTGAGGGTTTTAAGTTGCCTGATTCTTCTCCTGGCTGCTGTGGGGAGGACCCTGAGGGCGTTTCCACCCTGAGGGGCCGGGGCGGCCTGGCCTGGCTGGTAGCAGCGAGGCAGCCACCCTGTGGTATGTCAGCTGCGACCAGAGATCAGGGTGTTTATTCCTAATCAGATGGGACTGAGGAGGAGGAGCAGTCCAGCAGCACCTTCTCCTAAACCAAAGTCTTTAATTCTGTTTGTGTTTTCAGGTATCATCCTACCTTTTCTCCTACGTGCCCTTTCCTCCCCGCAGTGCCTTCCGTAGCTCTTTGGCAACCCTGGCTGCTCCCACACCATGACTCCAACTCAAATGACTGTCATCCAGAGGGAATGTTTCCATTTGAATGACATGAGCAGGCACTCTGTAAACTTCCCCACAGGCTCTGCCACTATAATCCCTAGGAAGGAGCAACCTGCAGGACCTACTTTCACTGTTCAGTGCTTTCCCTGTTTATTGCTACCACTGTCAGAGCGAAAACCATCCCTCAGATTCAGACAGGAGTCCTGACGTCTGCCAGCCACCAACCACTGGTGATACTCAGCAACTTGCTGGCCACATCCAGACCTGACCCCACAGCACAGGGAAGGAAAGGCTGATTTCTCATTGGAAATTCCTGTGCTCTGGGGTGCTTTATGCTAGGCATTTCTGGTCTCACGCTGACTTGCTTCCTTTCCTTCTCCTGTTGCAAGCACTGCTTTATCCCAGGTTGCCAGGAGCCCACTGTTCCAGCAGCTGCTAAGACAGAGTGAGGTGTCAACTTTGACGGGATGCCAGATTGTTTATTAATTAAAAGGCCAAGCATTCTGTATCGTTCTGAGACTCAAAGCAAAACGGACCTATCCTACCCAGGGCTCTCAGTGGTTAAATCTGGTTATTCTGAGGCATTCAGTCGCAACTGGCAACCGTAAATCAACGCATTTTGTTGTCACTGCTGACTTTAATACATGTTTACAAAAATATCAAAATGCCAGAAAGCCATCTTCAGTTCTTCACAGTGAAACTGCCTCAATTTGAACCTGAAAAAACACATACTTCCAGTGGGATCTTTGTCCTCAAACACAGCAAATATCTTTTTGAAGGTGTTCATCTGCCTCCCCAGCACTCAGCATTAGTAGGCTTCTATTTGTATGTTATATTTTTTTTCGTACTGCCAGCCCACAGCGCCGAGCGCAGCCGTCTGCTTCCCATATGCCACACGTCCTCCCTCCTCTCCTGCTTACCTTCAAACCCACTGCACTCTTTGGGCTCCCACTGCGGATGAGCTGCCATTCTGCCAGCCTGGGTTGTGCACAGAGGATTTTTCTGGCTGTAAGCTCCACGGGAGGGGAACTTTGCACAGCTCTCCATTTCTCAGAGCACCGGGCACACTACAGTACAGAAGGAATGAACACGAAGGCATTAATGGTGTGACATTTAGGTTTTTAACACCCTAAAATGCAAGGGGGAAAATACCTTAGGGTCCCTTTCAGACTCATCTCTAAACAATGTAGTTAACCTCCATTTGGACATTTTTTTCATCACAAATTATGCAAATGCACACAGCTGTTTGAATAACAAAAACATAGTTCATTAATTATTTGTAAATATACTTCTGAGAACTTGCAGTGACGTCTCCAGTCCTCTATAAAGCTATCTGGGAACGTAAAAAGAAATAATACCAAGCAGTCTAGTATAGATAGCTATTGGGTAAACAGGAGGTCACCCTTTCCACTTTGGAGACAATCTCATTAAATCTTTCACTCGTATTTTGCTGCACATGAAACATCCAAAGTTTGTTCAAATTGCTCAGACAGCGTTCTTAAGGAAACGAAAAAAAATACATGTTTTTAGTAGTTCCTCCCTTACTCCTGCACTCTCTATGTTTACAGGCAGCGTTGCTGTCCTGCCCCAGAGGTAACCCAACAGGTCTTGCAAAGTCTCCGAGCTTTGCCCCACCTCCATCATTCACAATCTTGTCTCCCTAACCTACTCATTTTCCTCCATTCCACAAACTAGTAGTTTCAAAGAAATTCAGAGATTAATTAAAATGATTGGTGGGATGAGTAGGTGAGGGGGACAGGCTAAAGGGCTTGACAAGAAGAAAGATGAAAAGGACTGAACGCATATAGCTTGGTTATGCGATGACTAATGGAGGGTGGAGGAGATGGACACGATATTCATTTACAAGTGCTTATGGTTCTGAGGAGCCTTTTTCATGTGCACAGAAAAGACCAGCTCGGGATGAGCCTTCTGTTTTACGGAGTTGGGTTTGGTATCCTTCACTTCAAGCTCAGAGCCTCCTTTTCTCATAGCCCGTATCTTCCCACCTCTGCCTCAAAGCCTCAAATAAATGTTTTGAGTTGGGCTCAGCTGGCAGCCAGACCCCGTTCCTGGATCTCCACCTGGCCACGGGGAGGGCAAAGAGCAGCAGGAGCGGCCGAGGAAGGCGGAAGCTGGGGGCGGCCGGCGGGGCACCTCTGCCACACCTCTGGCGCTGCAGACGGCAGATTTGAACCGGCTCCGAAAACACACCTGGAGGAACCGGGAGCACCTGAGAGTTATTTTTCCTTCACCTTAACCCTAAGGAAACCCTGCTCCTCGTGCCCTCGCACTCACAACTTCTACTGTGCTCTGATTGAGTAAATAAAAGAGAAACACTTGCTCCTTCTGACTCCTCAAACCCTCCCCTCCCTCGGCAGGGAGACCTGCTCCGTAGCAATTCCTCAAGCAAGTGGAAAGCAGTGTGAGAAGGTTCACGGATTCCCACTCTTACTCACTTCATGCAGAGGCGAGGCAGGATATCGCATTTGAAAGCGTGAAATGAATAAAAAAATAAATAAATGAAGAGAATCATTTGTGTAATAAAAATATTGCGGAAACTCCTCTGATGCTGTAATGCATTTAAGTTTAAAAAAAGAAAATCTGCATGGAAGTGTTTTCCTTCAGCGAGCACTGTTTCCAATACAAAAATAGTAAAACTACCATTTATACTTTTTTTTTTTTTTCCCAAATGGTCTAGAAATAAGCCAAGAGCACTTGATACAGGCCTGAAACAAAACAACCAACCTATTTATTCCTGGACTCCAAAAATAATTTAGCTGGACGTAGCATGCGTAAGTAATTTTAATTTGTCCCTGAAAAGCCATTTAATTATTCAGATTATCTGATTGCCTCAGTCGGTCTTGTATTGATTGATTGGAGAACTTTATAAATCAAAATCTGCATTACTGCTGCCCAGAGCATCTGCCTCGCACAGCAGCGGAGAGACGGGGCTGATTTCCAGTCCCTACCCACAAGTTAGTTTATTGAGACATGTAAATGGCGATGGTTTATAGATGGGTCGGTAAGTGTTCCTTCGTACCACTGAAGGAGAATTTACTTAAGGACATCAAGAAGTGGGGGGGGTAAGAGCCCTAAAGTAATAGCTGATTAATAAATCAGGGCATAGTCACCAAAAACTCCCAGCTCCCTGGCTAACGGCCATGAAGGCTCGCTGTCCCCCTGAGCACAGGGCCAAGTCCTGATGAACTCCCTGTGGCACTTGGTGACCCTGGGACAGGGAACCCAAAACCTGATCTTTGCTTTCAGAGCTCTCCTGCTCCGCTCAGCCTCTGTGACCTGGCTGCCTGTTGCCAGCCTCGGCCAGGTAACCTCTAAGCGAGTAGCAATTAAGGTAATGAGTGGCCTGACGGGTGTCCCCCACAGCGATGGGGCCTCGGCAGCAACACGTCTCCGGCAAACTGGAATGTCTGGTCCTGAAACTGCACTTCTGTAAAAGGAAGTGAAAAACTAAAAGGGGTGGGGGGTTAAAGGAAAAAAAAAAAAAGAGGTAAAACCCTCCCCAGCTAAGTGAGTTCAAGCAGCGTCCCCAGCCCAGTGAAGGGAGGAAGGATTTGGGGTGACCCCGGTGGGGCTGGGCAGGACGGGTGGTTATGGGGTCAGAGGGGTTAAAGGCGCCCTGAGCGTGCTCCTGAGCCCGGCTTTCTAGGACAGAGCTGAGGCACAGAGGAAACAGAAGGACAAAATTTGGGCAAGTTTGGGATGCCAACAGCTGGCTGAACAGCTCTCGTTGGGGTTACTGGTCTGAGGGGACACGGGACTCAAAGGGGGCGATTTGCCACGGCTTGCTAAGCGACACCAACCAGGAAAAAACAACTTTTTATTTAAAAATCTTTATTCAGAAGCCTCATTGCAGCGAAGATCCGGGCCCTGCGCTCCTCCCGGGTTTCCTCCTCAGCGAGGGGCTGAGGGGCCGCTGGGCTCCCCCCTCACCCGGGGCGCTGGGGAGCCGCCTCAGGCACAAATCCCCGTCACAGCCCCCTGAGGGAGCCCTGCGACCCCCCCAATTGCCTCACACCAGACCCCAGGAAGGCGTCAGCAGGCGCTAAGCACCGCTGAGGGCTCCCACAGCTTTCATTACGCGCGCCCCTTCCTCCTCCTCCTCCCCCCCCCCATCCTCCTCCACCCCCCCCGCGCTGTGGGCGGAGCCTCCCGCTGCCCGCCCCGGCCCCTGCCCGGAAGCGGCCGCGGCGCGGCGGGGAAGTCACGTGAGCGCCCCCCTCCCCTCAGCGCCGCCTGGGGGCTGTACCACTTGGAGGCGCGGGCGGGGGGGGAGGTGGGGTGGTGTTTTTATGAAGAATTCCCAGGCCGTGCGGTGCGAGCGGTTTCACCTCGCAGCGCGCCCCTTGCAACCAGCGGGGCGACGAGAGGAGAAGGGAGAAGAAGGGAAAAGAGGGGAGAAGTGAGGCGGTGTGCCCCTTTTCCCCCCCCGTGGAGGCGTTGCGGTTGGTACGCTCCGGCTGAGGAGGCGCCCGGCGGCGTCCAACCCGCGCGGCGCGCGGGCGGGCGGCGGTAACCAGATATTCAAACGCACTACGTCAGCCCACAGTGCCCCGCGCCGCACCACCGCATTACCTCAGCCCACACTGCCCCGCGGCCGCGCGCGCTCCGAAGCTTCTAGGGGGCGGGGTCGCCATGGCGACGGGGCCCGGGGCCACGCCCCCCCCGGGGAGAGGCGGCGGCAGCCAATGGGGAGGCGGCGGGGTGACATCATGGGCTATTTTTAGCCGGCGGCCGGCCGCTGATAAGCCAAGGGCTGCACGCCGCCAGCAGGGCTCAGAGCGCGGCGCGGGCGGGCGGGGGAAGCAGCAGCGGCAGCGCGGGGCCGGGCGCTGTGAGGAGACCGCGCGGGGACCGTGAGGGAGCCGTGAGGGGACCGTGAGGGAGCGGTGAGGAGGGAGAGCAGCGGCCCGGCCGGGCGGGCTGCGGGTGAGGCTGCGCTCCCGGCTGCGTTCTATGAGCGCGAAGATGGAGCCGACGTTCTACGAGGACGCGCTGAGCGGCGGCTACGCGCCGCCGGAGAGCGGCGGGTACGGATACAATAACGCCAAGGTGCTGAAGCAGAGCATGACGCTCAACCTGGCCGACCCCGGCAGCAACCTGAAGCCGCACCTGCGGAACAAGAGCGCCGAGCTGCTCACCTCGCCCGACGTGGGCCTGCTGAAGCTGGCCTCGCCCGAGCTGGAGCGCCTGATCATCCAGTCGAGCAACGGGCTGATCACCACCACGCCGACCCCCACGCAGTTCCTCTGCCCCAAGAACGTGACGGACGAGCAGGAGGGCTTCGCCGAGGGCTTCGTGCGGGCGCTGGCCGAGCTGCACAACCAGAACACGCTGCCCAGCGTCACCTCGGCCGCGCAGCCCGTCAGCGGGGGCATGGCACCTGTGTCCTCCATGGCCGGTGGGGGTGGGAGCTTCAACGCCGGCCTGCACAGCGAGCCCCCCGTCTACGCCAACCTCAGCAACTTCAACCCCAACGCGCTCAGCTCGGCGCCCGGCTACAACGCCAACGGCATGGGCTACGCGCCGCAGCACCACCTGAACGCCCAGATGCCCGTGCAGCACCCCAGGCTCCAGGCTCTGAAGGAGGAGCCGCAGACTGTCCCCGAGATGCCGGGGGAGACCCCTCCGCTGTCCCCCATCGACATGGAGTCGCAGGAGAGAATCAAAGCCGAGCGAAAGCGCATGAGAAACAGGATCGCCGCGTCCAAGTGCCGGAAAAGGAAGTTGGAAAGGATTGCCAGGTTGGAGGAAAAAGTGAAAACTTTGAAAGCCCAGAACTCAGAGCTGGCATCCACTGCCAACATGCTCAGAGAACAGGTTGCACAGCTTAAGCAGAAGGTCATGAACCATGTCAACAGCGGGTGCCAGCTAATGCTCACACAACAGTTGCAAACGTTTTGAAGAGACTGGCTTTAAAAAAAACGCGAACTGTGATATTGTGGTATAACTCAACGACAGACCCGAAGCGGCAGATGCGTGAAGCTGATGGTAAGAGCTGAAAGGCTGAGTCCTGCCTGTGCTCTGCAAAGCGCATGTGTGGAAAGACTGGCAAGCCTTCAGCCCGAGTTGGCGAAGCAGCCAGCACCGCTCCGAGAAGTGCTGTTCCTGCTCAGAGACGTCAGATCTTCGTTTAACATTGACCAAGACCTGCATGGACCTAACATTCGATGATCATTCAGTATTAAAGGTTAAACTGCAATAGAAACTGTAGATTGCTTTATGTAGTATTCCTTAAGAAAAAAAAAAAAAGTGGGAGGGAGGTTTTGTGGGGAGGCTGATAAACAAAAAAGAACTGTTCTGCCTGCCTTCAAGTAAATCGTGTATGTACATATCTTTTTTTATTTTATTTTATGAAAGTTGATTAATGTCAATAAACTACTTCATGACTTTGTAAGTTATTTTTATGTTGTTTATTTGGGCGCTGCCCAGTATTGTTTGTAAATAAGAGGCTTTTTTTTAGCACTCTGAGTTTACCATTTGTAATAAAGTATAATTTTTTTAATGTTTCTGTTTCTGGAAAAAAAAATCTAGAAGGTTCTATTATATTTAAGAAAAAAATAAAATACTTAAAATGCATTTCCTCCTCACACTTTTTTTGCCAGTACCTGAGTTGGGAAAATGCCCTTTATGCTGAACTCTAAAGGGCAGGGATTATGTTAAATTTACTCTGTAACTACAGGCATGTCCTGGAGAACGTGTGAGGAGGAGAGGGGGGGGAAACCAGATCCCGGGCGCTACACAAATACAACTTTTTGACTTGTCTTGAAGTTGTAGTTACTAATCTTAACCTGAGCGGATCGCCTGCTGTATCCCGGTGGCCCGGCTGAGGCAGCTGACTTGAACTCCAAGCAGAGCGCAGAGGGGCGGCCGCTGTGGGAAGCTGCTCCACAACTCGTAGCGGCTGCTTGTGCTCCTGCCTGCCTCTCATTAAGCTAATGCCCTCAGCAGGATCAGGCAAGAGGCTGTGTTTGTTTTCTTTAAAAAACAACAAACCTCAAAACTTCAGGAATGGTCACCTTTATGGCTACATGCTCTTTCCAAGGTAAGAGAGAATCTTTGTTAATATTTGTGACAATGCTGTTGTCAGCAGTAAATAACTTTGTAACTCTCTGTACCTTGAAATCCCTTCCCTTCAGGTGTTACTGCAACTCTGAAACTTTTTAGCACTAGGAAAGCTGGGAAAACTGCCTGGCAGGAAATGAAAAGACATGAGAGGAACTTTTCTGGCACTTCCCATGTAGTTTAAATAAAAGCTTAGTCTGGTTTTTAGTACAATGATGTAAATATATACCTTAGACACATACTACTGAACTCTTTGGGGAAATGATCTCGGTGCCGAATTTTTCAGAACACTGTACCTGTTTCACAAATATATACTTGAGGGGAGAGCAGATGTTTTCCTGCTTGATGGCCAAAGAAGTAAGAGGAAAAAGATGCCATCAAAAGATAGGCAGAAAATAGTAAAAGTTATTATAGAAGTAACAATATTAACTTTTCAGGGTAGGCAGTCTTAATGTTTTTTTTTGTTGTTTTTTTTTTTTTTCCTTAAAATACAGAATTGTAGGGCATAATTTCAACAGAAGTGAGTCTTGCTTAAAGTCACTTCTCCAAATGACTAGATAACTGTGTATGTTTACCTTTACTGTTACCAAAATGATACCCTGAAACTTGCAGCTACTGTGTGTCCAGAGAGCAGTTCCTTACAGGAAGCGCAGAGCTCTCTCTCCTGACAGATTTAATTGGGGGGGGGGGGGGGGAGGGGGACATTTTATATGAACTTTATCGTGTGAGGGGTTGTTTCAGCTGTCTGGTGGTAATATCCTTCCACGTCGCAGCCCAAGTGTCAAGGTAGGCGAGCGTTCAGATGCTGTTTGCTGCTGCCAGAGGAATAGGCTTGTAACAACACCAACCAAACAAAGGGTTACTAGGAGGATACTGCAGTTTGCCAAGAGTACATTTTGCTGATGTCAGCAACCCGGAAGGTAAGTTGATTTTGACCATATGTAGGAATAGACAGCAGAGGGATAATACACAGCACTGCTGGGTGTGGTTTTACAGGGATTTAGCAAGTGCCAACTAGCAAAATAAGCAGGGCAAGGAGATTAATTACCTGCAAAGGTGCCTGCTTAACTCAACAGTGCTGGGTTATGGAATAGATGTTACTAGCAAGCATTTTGCTTAATCACCTAATTACGCAAAAAAATAAATACATTATATAAAATACTATGTTAATTAAACACAGCTGAGTGACAGTCGGCTCCACCCCGTCCTAACGCGCGCACAGACACTTGGCGGTGCGGTTCCGTCCCGTCCCTCTCCAGCACGACGCTCCGTGGCACCAGCACGACATCAGCAAGTAGCAGGGCTGCTGGGCTCCATCCAGCCCCGCAGAGAATCTGCCATCAAGCAAGGTGGGTTTTGGTCCCCAACGTCCACAAGGAGATGAGGGGCACCAGAGCACAGATGCTTTCTTAGCCCTCGCGTCAGGATCAGGCCCGAGACGAGGCAAAGAAAGTTGGCATCGCCTCCGGCTGTTTTGTACACAGCGTGGTGGGCTGCGAGCCCGCTGCTGCCTGGTTTGGTTCCCTTCAGCAGAGATTAAAATCCAGCGCTCTTCGCGTATTACCAGATCGCTGGGTAATCAATACACATGACTGTAATGAAAGACATGCGTGCGTTTATATGTGGTGAAATGTAAAGTTTTAACACCTACTTAACTCGAGATTAAAATTGCCTAATGCATTGTGCGCCTCGCTTTTATAAGGAAAAGTCAGCTCTCTTTGAGATTTAGAGAGAAACTCTCTTTTTGTTGCCCCAGCTGTACTCACAAGGGAATATTTTGCAAATAACAGCATTGTGAACATGTATTTTGTTTGGCTGTGAGTGTTGTCAACGGATTCAGGAAGTGAAGTCAGAAAAAGGCAGGGTTTCAAACAGGGCAGGCTGCGCAGAAATGCCTAGGCAAAGAGCGGCTAATCAGAACAACATGTTTGGGTTACGGAGATATTAATTAGAATTTGGGTCTGTGCTAACAACGGCACACTTCTGTCCCAGGAGCAGAGGTGAGCTGCACTGGGGGTTTGACCATGATTACTGCAGAATACTTTTAAATCCAAATTACTTGCCATTCCAGAAACGGCAGTAACAAGCCAACTTATTCTAGTGGCACAGAGTTTCGTACCAGCCAGTTTTAGCCCCAGAGCACAGCAGCAGAGCCCTTCGGTGCTGAATCGCCCGATTCTCTGCAGGTCTGACCTCAAACCGTGGCACTTCAGTACCAGCCTAAGGCAGCACCTGCCCACCTCATGGCAAAGCCCAACAGCCAAGAGATGCCTTGGCTACCTTTCTGTTTTACAGGAACCTGTCACCAACCGCAGAGTAGAAAACAGGCTGGCTGTTCTGTCCCATGCAGAAGCCTAGGGAACATTTATCTTTAATATCGCCCCTCGTGCCTTCTCTGTTCTCCACCTCTTCCTCCCAACCCCTGCCCCCAAGACGGAGGTAAAACTGGAGAGTCACCCGCATCAAGAAACTAGTTCAGGCAAAATTTGCTATATTAAAAAAAAAAAAAAGTTGCAATCATACAAAATATTGCTAACAGGCAGACAGACAGCAAGGAAGTACTTGAAGTTATTGTATACCCAAACTCATTACAAAGCACAATCTACCTCAGTGACATTTACTATGGGACAGGTAGAAGGAAGGTGGTATTAGCCTTCCAGCTAAAGCAAAGGACAATGTAGGTGGGTTGCTGTGTGAGAAGGAATCATTCTTCCAGAGAAGTGCTTGTTCTTTAGGATTGCAGGCGCTGCCAGCACCGGTGCCTGCACCCAAAGACTGGCGGCAGTCCTAATTCTACACATACACATTATTGTGTGTATCGAACACAACTGGTGCTTCTTACAAAGAGAGCTTGTAGGAAGTCATCATATAATTTACCATGAAAGCCTCTGACTACTTAAACAGTTTTAAAGTGGTTTTGCACAGCAGGGCCCTCCTTTCCAATTTTGCGCATTATTCTTTGCGGTACGTTTTTGTTAAGGAACAATGGAACTCCAGAAATCAAATTAGATGTTGTTCATCGTGGTCCCTTCCATCCTTAAATATTCAGAAATACTAGAAACAGAGTTACAATGGGAAAGCACAGCTTTTTTAAAAATTAATTAAATATTGAAAATGCTGCTAATTTTCTCAGTTACAGAGTAACAACAGACATTAGGGGGAAAAAAACTAATTCAGAAAAACGAGTGAAGTACATAACCTGTTTCTGAAATCTTTACTAAGACAGAACTGAATAGGTTATGACCTGATTAATCCAAATCTCTATAAAACACCTAGAAACTAACTCTGTAAACAAAAGCAGAACTAACATTTATCCTCCTCAGTCTCACAATCATTTTGTGTTTTGAGCCTTGAATTCTCCAAGCAATTTTTATGTTGATTCCATAAACAAAAGGACCAGCAACTCAGTAGCAATCCTCCAATCTGACCTTTGTTCTTTACTCTCTTTTAAATCTAAGACAATTCCTGTGAAACCTGGCAGCTTAATAACACCGAAGATGTGGGAAACGGGACACAATTCCAGCAGATGGAGCTCAAAAACAAACAGTCCTGGAACAAGCTGCACAGATACCTGCAACACGAGGTTCTTCTGCTTACACGGTGTAGTAGCCAGAAAAGTCTTCAGTAGGAAATCTGCTGTCATGCAGATGTTTAAAAAATAAAAATTAACAGCTCCACTAAACTTTTAAAATAATCACTGCTATGAGTAGGGAGACCCTGCATCACTGTAATCACAAAGTAACCACACTTATTTCAGAGGATCCTAAGGGTTCAAAACCCAGCACCTCTGTTTTTCTGAGCTCTCATCCAGGACACTAACTGAATGAGGATGACTCCTGTTATCGTGCCTTTTATATCTCAGATAACAAGTCACAGAAACAAGCATGATGCAAGTATGATCCAGTGAGTGTTGCTATTCAAACTCACAGAGAGATTCACGTAGCACCCAGTGCTGAAAAGAGGTAACTGCAGAAGTTTTGAATCCCCACTAGATGGATTATTGGCAGGTTTAAGAGCGCAGCTTAGTACTACAAAAAAATTGAAGCCTACCTATTTCAAGCAATGAGATTTCAAAGTTGCTGACCTCTGCGTGACCACAAATCACAGCACCTTGGCAGCTTGTGAATGAAAAGTTCATTTTTATCCAAAATTAGTTTTGGAACTTTTAATAATAGTAAAAATTGTTGGCTGCTGCACCCACCTTGCAAGCTCTGGTTGTTGTTTTACTTTCACCTTGAAAAGTCAAACACCGAAAGTTCCTCTTAAAACAAAGCCATAACACTTTACAGATACGGGTAAGGATTTATTTAATTTAAGGATTTATTCAGTTAAGTTATCTAGGTTAGGAGGCACCACGGGTTCTCTTTATATCAACAGAAAAGCACATGCCTCTTCAGAGAGGGGCTCGGGTAAGCTACATGGCTAATGGGAAGTGCCTCTAAGTCAGCTGTCTCCTTCTTTAACTTAAAAGCCTCCGTCCGATAGGAGAAACCTGGGTCTAATGATTACCTGATTAGGATCAGGAGACACTTCTTTTACTAAACGGAAAAGTTCTGTAAACATCTACCATGTGCTAGCAATGAATAACTTTCTATGTGCAAAGTTTTATTCTACTGCATCACACATACAATGTACGCTATTTTCCCTATACAAACAATAAAGTTTGTATAAAACATTAACTGTTCAAAACTCCTTACAACAAGTCATTAAAAACAAGACTCATTACGAACCCTCCGGTGGTATGTCTGGGCCCCAGTCAAGATATGATCCTTATCATGCTGAATAATCACTAAGTGTCTGACCCAAATACCTAAAAGGGAGAAAAGGAACCCAAAAATCTCAAAACGCACCTTTAGTTTTCCTGTTTGGCTTCGCTATCATACAGATCGCCCATTCTCCCTCCTGGCTGAACCAGTTAATTTCTAAAGATAAATATTCTAATTATTTAACAAATTGCTTTTATATGTCAAATTACACGAAAACTACGCAAAGCCATGCTCTAAGCATAGCTGCCTTTAGGAGTGACATTACAAGAATTTACAGTTAGCCTGCAACAAGATTACCGAACAAAGAGAGCCCTTGAAAAGCCAGCAGCAAAGTTTCCTTCTTTAAATGATGGAAAGCAAGCAGAACGTAGTGGTCTTTGTCCAGTTTCCTTCTCCTTTAAACAGAGATTTCTAACCAGTATCTTTCCAGTGCAGCACCGCAGGAAGCAGCACATCTTTATCTAACTTCCCGCAACATCAGGTTTCGGGGCTGTGACCTGTGAAAAAGCAGGCCACTCTTCTCTGTGCACATTCAGCTGGGCTTTTAATATTTTAGCTTGGTTAGAGACTTCTGACTTTTATTTGCCACTTCTGCACTGCCCAAACCATCTAAGCTTAGCGTATTTAGGGAAGTGCTCCTGGCTGAGCCTCAGTGCTACTTAGCAGCTTTTACTTCTAATTTTGCAAAAGTAACAATAACGTTGACCGATATTTCTGTTTTTCCAAATTACTGAGCAACAATTACCAAAAAGCAGCACAACTCCTAACGATGCTTGACAGAAATAGCAGTTCTGGAAATCAGGCCACTGATACACACTGGGAAGGAAACATGCTTAGAAATCATAGTGTATTCTCATGTTGGGTAACAGGGATGTCAGAAGCTCTAGCGTAGAAGGAAAGAAAACAAGCAAGGGCAAACCATTTTGTCCCAAGAGACTTTTTCTCTTACCAGGAATTTGCAGAGCCTCAAACCAAACTTTTATCTTCACCAGAAAGTCACATGGCCCTAGCTCTTTGAAACTGATAGTTTCAATTAAAACATTAAAAATATGCACACTCTTATTGGCACTGATTTAGATACAACTTGGGACTTTGCTGTATGACCTTGGGTAGCTTTAGCTGCGGTGTTTTAAGATATCAATAAATAACTTAAGTTTACCTGCTGGTTTGTGGACTGCAGTAACTGAGGGTTGGCCACCACTGTTGCAAGGGCTGCTGCTGCCAGGCAAGCAGGGACAGGTCAGCCTCCAGGCCTCAGGGTGCTCAGCTTTGATGCACATAAGCATTTTTTTTCACGTCAGTGCCAGCCTGAGCAGCCACCTTTTCCTTCCTTCTTCGCATCTTCTTTTCCACTTATTTATGCTGGTGGAACTTCTTAGAATATTGCAGGAAACTGATAGAAATAACCTAGCCAAAAGGAAAAAAAAAAAAAAAAAACAAACAACAACTATATTTTCAATCTGCATTGCTTCCCTTATTTGCTTAAGCAGACAGCCCCATAAACACTGAAATGATGGGGGCCATGGAGCAGCAGAACCTAAGTGCAAGTAACCAGCAGCAGGGATGTGGCATCACTCTGAAAGAAATGCTCATTAGCAATCTCCACATTACCAGAAATTGAGTCAGAATTCTTAAATTCACTCTTCCCAATTTAAACTGCACTACAAAAATGCCCAGGCAGCTCTTGCAGCAGTTTTAATAACTTAATTTGAATTCACACTTTGGGTTAAACAAGCCCAACTTCCCATATGGACAAACCTATAAAACGTGGTTTGACTTTCACAGCGAACAATTTTCATGCGCCCATTAACTTGAATGAGAACTGGGAGTCCTTAGCATACCTGCTTATGAAACTGCTTTGTGTGAGGTGACTACCTTTGTGCATATATATTTAAAATTATTTAAGAGGGCAGCGAGGTTATTATTCAAAGTCTTACAAATGGAATTTCTTGCACATGCTCCTGATGCTGGCTTCCATGTCTGTTTCAAATTTACTTACAAAATATACCAGCACACCCAAAATTAGTTACAAGCTATTTCCTTGCCCCCCTCTGTTCACTGTTTATCATTCTTATGTGCAGAAATTGCTTCTGTGTTTTCCACTGGACAGGAAATGCCAGACTGGCAATATGAGAAAGGCTTGGTTTTTAACTTCATGTCAATTGTTGTTGCTTCCATGGTTATGTGCCTGTGGGTTGAACGGGCATCTGGGTCGATGAAATGCTCGTACTGTTAGTATCTGTGGCAGCTACTTGCTACTACTTGTAACTACAATGCCAGTTACATTTCCAATCAAACTCTAAAGGTAATAACGACAAAGTGACAAAAGGAACAGGGCAATGAGCTCAGGGCATGGAAGATCTTACCATGTTACTCCTTTTCTGCTAGAAACAGCTCAGTTCCCAAATCTGTTGCAAATTAAGGCCATAAGCATCTCAGTTTAGGAACAGCACTGCCTGATGTCTTTCCCATGGTATTCTCTCTTGAATTTCAATTCTAAGTGTCCTGACATGCCCACAGCCTGATCTAAGAAGGAAAAGCCAACGTTATCCCCCTTGGGAATACACCGTGCAGCCCAGCCACAGACGTGCAGGCCTGGCAACCTGTGAAAAGTGCGGTGCTACTGGCCTCATCCTTCCCCTGCCCCATTAGGAGGCTCTAGCTCCTGTGGTGGCAGAAGTGCTCTAAGGGCAGTAAGAAGAAATGGAACTCCTTGTCCTGTACCGCTGTACAGAAACAGGAACAAGCGAGATCTAGCAATTAACATCCAAAAATAAAACCAGATTCCTCACTGTTTCTACGGTTCAGCTGGTCTACATCAGACAGCAGCGCTGTAAGTAGTGAAGCTGAGATAAAATCCCAGGTACAGCTTTACACAGGACCACTCCACAGTCACACACAAGGCTTCTCACAACAGCTCTTTCTGTGAAACACAAGGAAGATCTACGGTGTGGTCCAGGTCTTAGCTTAAAAAGGAAAACCAACAACAAAAAAAAACAACAATCACTCAAAAGCCCCAAATCAAAGAACTATTTCTAGGCCTAAATCCTCTCTCTGGTTCAGATCTTCACAGTGCTGTGGTCTTCATGGAGATCTGCACTCTGACTTGAATTACTTGAAGACTCAAAGTTACTTGAGACTTAAAAGTGAGTCTCAGAGTTGAGAAGGAGTTTGATGAGTAGAGGTTAAGACAAACAGAAGCTCTCCGTGCAGCCAGTAAAAATGCTCACTTTTGCCTATACAACCAAAACTGATCACTTATAATGATGAAGCCCCCCCACATAAATCAAAGGCTGTTTAAATCCATGAGAAGTGTCAGAATAGAAGTAAAGCTCTCAAATGCTGAGTATTTTAATACCTTTATATTTCGTTCATTGTCAACCATCAGTATTTGCCTAATCTAAAGCCTGTATATTTTGATTCATTAATTAAACTTTATACATTGCTATACTTTGATCTAAAGCTGGAGTACTAGGAAAGGCTCCACAGCACTGATATTTTTAATTTCATTCACTGACTATATGCCTGCTGTGCCCAACGTCATGAACCTCATCCTCATCTTGAGGATAGGTATTATTTGATACTTCACGCTCTGGGATTCCTTCCTTAAGTCTGAAACCCCAATTTAAGCCAGCTGTTAAACAGTAACTAGACACGAGTGGAATTTTCCCACTCAGGGAAAATGAAAACTAGATTTTTTTATTATTATTTTTTTAAGATTTAAAGTCCATTGTGGGCTGGCTCCTTGTAAATAAAGACAAAGAAAGCATCAAAGTTGGTTCACCTGTGTAATGTGAAAGTGATTGTGTGCGACGTAACTGCATGTATTATTTCATGCCTCATCCACGTTACAGTTTAATTTACAAAGCTCTGTTGCCTTTTTTAGCTTCCCATTTTACTGTTACATCATACAGTTTGCTTGAAGCAGATAGCACTGTCTGAACATATTTGTCCTCTCAGCCCGTTCTCTAAGCTGTGACATCCTTCAGCTGGCACTGATGTCTGGGTGCAGTAAGCCTTCCCCTCAGCACTGCCATTCGCAGGCTGTCACCTAGCACCCAAGCAAGGGGCACGTGGTGCCTGTGCTACCTTGCTCCTGTGCCTTGCTTTTACCCAAGACAGCAATAGGATGGAGAATGAACCACAGTCCATCCGTGTAAACTGATACTATTAAAATACAGAAAATCGTAGCATTGAAATATAGAGATTTTTAATACCTCTTCAATCACAAGAGAATGGGCTCCAGAGAAACATGCTGTTCTACCAGATGTGATGGCATGTGAAGGGTTAAAAATTGACGAAGTGTTCAAAACTAACAGAATGTTTTCCTGTAAACTCCTTCTATGGTGTGATCTAGGGGAAGGTCCAACTTAAGTGCTGGATGTTCATACAGGATTTCCTATGACTAATGCTGTCAGCATTCAAAACTTTTAATTTAAAATGTGGGCGTTCTGCACAGATAGGAAATTTACCATTTAAGATTTCTTATTCGAAAATGAATGAAAATTACTCTGATTTTCGGATTCGTTTGCTGTAGATGGAACGATACATAAAAAAAGGAAGTCACTAAGTGGCATATGCTGGGATCGCCTGCCAAGCTTTTACACAAGTCTTTTATATCTGGATAGGATCCACAGGAAGCTTGTACAGGAAGGCCTTTTCCTTCCTTATTTTTGAAAAGCTTTGTTGGATGGAAATTATGCCAGTGAGTAGAAAAGGAGGGGGGGGAGAGCAAACTACCATTCTGGTGGGTTTGGTGCCAATCCATGCAAAACTGAAAGTCATATTGAGATAACATTAATGCATCCTGTTGTAAAATAGACCAACAACAAGAACCCGTAGAACACAGGAGATATTTCATAGTTTTTGATTTAAAAGACTCAAAGAAAAGGAACAGAGGTACCAATTCAAAACAGTACAGGAAGCAAAACTCTGGGATGTAATCTGCCAAAATTAAGCTAAATTTGCCAATATTTCTAGAAAGTAGATCATGGCCTTGTATAGTCTCTAGTAAGCTTGCTCTGAATTCTGTTGCAAGCTCAGACTAGTTTAGATAAATTTAATAGTGATACTTTATTGAATTAAGCATTAATTTAACATAGCTTGAGCTGTCACTACAATATCCCTTCTTTCACTTAGTGTCACGCTGATCCCATTCTCACGATGCTACATTAACACTTAGCTCTTCTTTCCTTAATCTGAGTCTTAAAAATCTGTAGCAGACATACTACTATTCTGTGTACTATTATGGGATACATATTGAGCCAAAGACTGCTTCACTGGGAACTGTAACAGCAGCAAACAGACCTACAGGTAGGTTACAATGGCTCTGGATACCTCTTCAGCATCCACCACGTCAGCTGGCAGGAGTCCCAGAAGTCTCGGAGAACAGAAATTAACCCTGAGAGTCTTGTAAACCCAGAATGGCTATTTAGGCAGGGAAGGAAAACAATTCTTAAACAGGGAATGCTTCTGCTGCACAGCAGAGGAGACAGCAGTTGCAAATTAATAGGTTTGATGACAGAGGAAAAAGGGGAATAGGGGACTTTAAATGTCTAAGACAGTATTCAAAGGAAGGCGAGTAAAGTAGTATACAGGGTACAATGGAAGACATCAAAAGCATCATAAAGGATGATGGAAGAGTATGCAGCTCTTGCACAGGCTTTTGGTGGAGGTGTGCAATTCTCTCCAGCTGGACATTAGAACCAAGCATTCAGAGCATGAAAGCTATGATTAAAAAAAAAAAAAAAGGATGCTGGTATGCTGGTGCAATGAGTCAGGCGTGTGCTTTGTCCTCAGAGTAGCTACGGCACAGGTAACAACCACATGTAATCAGCTGCTGTGAGAAAAGGCATTCCTAGAGGAAAGAAAATCCATGCTGATGTGTTTTCCTTGCTCTTGTGACCAAAGCTAGTTTAAAAAAAATAAAAAAATAAAAAAGCATGTTTATGCAGCCAACATTTCTCTGCTCTCAGGGTTTTCTACAGGAATAAGGAATAAAAAATAGTTTAAGGAAAGGGAAGAGAGAAGTCTGAAATGAAAGCTCCGGTTCAGATGAGACTGCACATGATTTGCAAAGCGATGGAAACTGAGGGGGCAGCTAGGTCATGCCTTTCCCCTGCTGGATGAATCACTCTTTGAATGGAAATTTGAGTAGGAAGACATAATGGCTTGGGAACAAAGAGAGCTGCTGGAATATCACAGGTGCAGCTGAACAGAGAAGGATGTTTTGGGATATGCCAAGGAAAGCAAACGCCATGAATCTGGAGGAGTTGTCAGGGCTTTGTGATTTAGGGAGCGACCCAAGTCAGCACGGGTGTCTCACGTGGAGTCAGACAGGAGGAGTGCTGAGGCCCTGATCCAGAGCAGCAGCTAATCACTTCCTCCGTGCTTCAGCACAGTTCTGAATTCAAAAAGATTGAAGCTGCTAATGTCTTACTGAAGTTTTGGGGAATCAAACCTGCACTCCACTGAAGCACCTCTGTATAGTCGAATATACACTTACACACTTTCTGAACAGGAGCCAAGGTGAGGCACGGGAATCCAGATGCTGACAAACAAGGAAACACAGACGGTCTGGGGAACCAGCACAGCCAGCCAAAGCCAGAGGATCAAGTGAGGGACAGGGGAAGCAGTCAGAAGTAACATAACATGAAAGAATTGATGCTCTCTGCCTCAGAAAACACTCTAGCAAGAGAAATGCTGTGAAACAAAAAAGCTTCCAACCAAATTACAGCATTGTGAACAGATCAGAACACTAGTAAGAAAAAACAAGTAAATGGTGATGATTTGATAGCATTGCTATAGCAGGCAGGTTAAACATTGTTTTGACGTACAGCAAGCGTAAACAAGCATAAGAAAACTATTAACTAGTTGACCAGGATGGAGTTCAACTGAATCACAGTAAGGGTAAATGGGGAGAAAAAAAAAAAAAAAAAAAAAAAAAGCTTCCATAAATTATTTTACAGGAAAAAAGGGGGAAAATCCTGATTTAAAAAGAAAAAAATGTATAAAAAGCCCCTTGAATAACTTGAGTTGTCCAAAGTCTAGAAAAGTGCTATAATTTAGATAGAGTAGTGAAGATCTAATGGTGATAGATATATGAAGGCAGGTAGAATTTAAGTCAAACTTAGATTTTAGCCATTTAACATGAAATAACTGAAAACAACCTGCTATTTCTCTAAATATAGAATACCAGACTAAAAGAAATTAAAAAAAAAAAAAGAAAAAGTAATGAAGACAAGCTAAATATGCATTGCCAGGCTCACCCTTAGCCCTGAGTTGCCTTGCTTTTCTATACAGTGCTGAATGATGCTACTGAAAAACTGAGAAATAGAGAAATAATAAAGGAATTATTTTCACTGAAGATTTGCAAGCTTACGCTGAATTTTTGACCCAATGCTTTACCAGTCTCTGTTAAACTACAGCAGTAAGAAAACCTTAAGGACTGACAATGAAATAGCTCCCTCTCCAAGCTCAGGGAGCGGGGAATATGGGGACCATTTTCAAGGTAAACAGGGAGAAAGACAAGCAGCAGAGCTAGAATATTAAGAAAAAAAATAAATAATCAAAACATATGGAGGCCTGCATGACAGCTATGATGCAGGGAATCTCCTCCTATGTACAAGCCCATCAGGAAGACCAATCTGACTCAGCCAGGCCCACTTGCCCTCAGATAGCTTTAAGGAGGGAAATTACCTGAGCCCCTGGTCTCTACTGTCTGCTGTCCCATTTACAAGCCTACAGTAGCTTTTTCCTGCTGCTGGTGTTACTTGAACCTAAAATCTACCACCACTAACTCAGAAGGCACACCGTGTTTTTTACAGAAAAATTATAAAGTAGTTTTTCTTACCAGAATAAAAATATATATATATATTGAGATGGTTTTCCACACTGAATTAAAAAGTTTTATATTTCTTCATGTTCAGAAAAAAAACAACTGTGGAACTAAAATAAATGGTTTTGAAAATTCTTTTGACATAATAAATAAAATTTATATACATAAATGGATTCCTCAGAGAGGGCAAAATTTCACTGGGAGGGGGGAGACTTCATTGGCAAGACATTGTTTAGGTAAATGTCTGTACTATGTCTGATGCTTGACATCTAACTGTAATACCTTAATAAATAACAGCAATTAAAACTGGTTTATGATGTGCCAAAACATTATTTCCTTTCAAAGTCCCATTAGTCTCTATTAATCTCTGCAGCATTTTATAATCAGTAGGAACCAAATCCTGCTTGCATGCTGGTTTGAATTCAGAGCAGTTTTCCACAAGCTACTGTAGCTCTGCAAAGCAAATCAGGCCAAAAGGCTTCTGCAAGAGATGTGGTGGCACCACCACGGTCACCTTCTGGGAGCAACGCTGCCTGCAAGGGGAGCCCAGTGAGCACAGGGGCCGTGGGGAGGGAGGATCCTGGCCTTCAACAGTTAAAGAACTTTAACGAAGTATTTCCTTCTGTAAGATTTCACTGACAAAGTGTACGTTCCTGACTCAAAACCACAAGGGCTTGTTTGGTTTAAAATGGAAAGAAAAAAAAAAAATCTGCCTGTTCTGAAAAAAAGAAAAACAAAACAAACCAACTCGCCTGCTCTCCATTTGGTTTTGCTGATCCCTGAAGATGCCTCAGCATTTAGTAACTTAATACTCGTACATCAGTTACATTTCATGCTAATGACTTGAGGACTAACATCTTGCCATAACTGCTTTCTGTTAGGGTTGGGGTGAAAAGACACGTTTAAACACCTCAAATGGTAAGGTAAAAATCACAACATTGATACAACTTCAAGCCAATTATTGGAGAATGGTTTCTCCTCATTAGTAAAATCAGTATTAGTGTCCATATGGGTTTAGGAATTAACAGACAAATTAGTTCTTAGACTTAAATTAAGCTTGTGACAGCAAAGATTTCTGCAGAATAGATGTGTATGGAAACAGACAACTCTTGATAATCACCAGACATAAAAATAGTTATTTTTCTTTTTTGGCCTTTGCATTATGTAAATTTCAGTAACTAAATGCATATTTTATCATATCATCACTAATAATTTTTCTGTTTGTTTCAGGGTAACTTGTTCCCTATTTATTATGTCTTGAAACAAGCACCTTGCTTTTCCTTAGCTGTGTGAAGCTAAATGAGAACGCTTTTTTTCCTTCTACATCTGCTACATTGCTTCTGGGAAAACTACCTGGTGAGTAATTCCACGGAGAATTTGGAAAAATACCGAAATCTAATTACTCAAAAAACCTGAACGGCAAAAAAAAAAAAAAAGCTGTCTAAGTAGTTTGGTCGCTCTTCTAAAACCTCACTAATATACCCACGGTGAACTGAAAAACAATCCTAGTCCTCACTTTGGATGATTTATGTAACGTTGGGCCTCACTTCTGCAGTTCGATCCGGACACACAGTCTGCTCTCACGGCGTTCACAGCCATCTGTGGCACTTCCCCGATGGGTATTACCCACTTACAATACCCCAGGACGGAATCTCATAAAAGTACAGACTCATCTTTGGGAAAATAACATTTGGCATTGCAGAAGTGCAGCACTTAATGGTATCTTCATTTGTTTATTCTTGAGGAAATAGTATTGTAGTGTTAGGATAACATTGTTTGTGACCTGTGTTGTAAATAGAATAAAATACCTGAGTTATTGTATCAGCTGTTGTATTGTTACTTAGTATTTTGAAGGCACCCATGACTTTTGGAGGAGGCTGGGGAGCCACACTGTCTGCGAGGCAGCTTTTTAAGGACGAGACCTGGCACGGGGCACTCGGCAGGGGTGGTTCAGCGCTGCCAGCCTGCGAGCTGCGGAGAGGATAAGATGGGAGCCCAACGCACGGGGTGAGGTGCAAAACACGAGGCTGGACAGATCAGCTTTCCCCCCTCCAGGAGGCCCCAGCCGGGCCCCCGAAGGCAGGCATGTTCTCGTGTGCCAGTGCCGCTGGGAGGATGGCACTGCTCCTGGGAATACCTCGCGTTTAAATACCAGCCGGGCAGAGACTTCCCAGTACCAGGAAGGCCCCAGGTCTGCTCTGGGCAGAAATGTGACTAAACACAAACAGGATCGCTCCGTGCCAAAGCTCCCCTTTCGACTTCCCTAATTTATTGTCGTTAATCTTCAGGCAAAACCAAGCACTACACTTTGTCTCTCTCGCAGACATTCTGACTAGTCAGCTTCTCTTCCAGTGTTATAATAAGTCAAGCACACTCTAATCATCACCACGAACACTTCATACGCTGCTGTTTCTCAATCTAACTATACCTAAATATAGTTCAACCTCAACCAGCCAGGCCACACTTAGATTTCTGGTTATCCAGAACAAAGCTTTATTCCTGAGCCATGTTTGTTAATGACAATGCCTTGATTACCCAGATACGTTTCCCCATCCCTTATGTTTAGATAATGACGTTGGCTTTGCTATCTCTTACAAACTGGTTATTCTACAGCGAGATATGTTTCCAATAAACAGCTGGCATTACTACAAACAATTGTCTGCAGTGAAATTAAAGCACACATTGGGAAACATAAAAATATCACGGTGAGCGAAACCGTGTTATTAATGCTTGGCTTTCCATCAGTTTTGTCAAGAAAATGCCCAAGAGAACCCAAGAAGTTACTGGCAGTCACTCACTCGGCTGCAGCACATGCAGTTTCAGCAGAAGGCAGTAACCGCAGCTGGAGTTTCCTCACTGAGAGGGGAAAGCCTCGGTGGAGAAATGGTGACCTCTGCAGGTCCCTCAGTCCTCCTCGTCGCAAATGGTGGCTCACCAGCATGCAAGGTGTAGTTTTGGTTGCTTTCATCTCTGAGAAATTAAAATAAAGAAAATTAAACGTCTGTTTGATGATGGCATTGCAACATAAAATAGGCTCGAAAACACGGGCACGTGTTAATTTAAGAAATAAATGTTCATCTCTGAGAAGGCAGAAAACAATACTTCAAAGGACAAAAACTTCAAAGCGCTCTGGAACTTCAAAGCGCTACACCACCATTAATAAACACACAGGACATGTCTGTGAGGTAGAAAAAAATTTCCTTTTTGAATGCTTGTGTAAACAGGGTGCTGAGATTAAGTGATTTGCCCAAGGACACAAGTAGCAAAACTGAGACTCCACGTACGAAATAACTGGCTCAAGCCTCCAACCAGCGACAGCTGGGTTAAAATGCTGATTAGATGCTCCCTAATTGAAATCGCTCAGCAGAGGCCAAAATGCAGACCTTCCCTAGCAATAGCATCACCTGCCCTTTTCCGGGCCTGCTCTAAACTCTGTCGTGTTGCTCTCAACTGACGGCCTCCCACAGAGCACACATCTATCTGAATTAGGTCTTTTCTAGGTAAACTTACATTTACACAGCCTTGCTTTGCATTTAACAATGACACGAGAGCTTATGGTGAAGAATGTCAGTATTTCTGTCAAGAGAATCTGCTCACTACAGGCTTCTTGGCAACACTTAATTAAAATACCAGCAGCACACCTACAGCACGGAGTTTCTCCAATGGTCCCCCTGAAGCTGAACCTGCCCTAGTCCCAGCAAGAAAAAAATCTCCTTGTGACCCATAGACAATAAATACAAATAAAAGACAACAAAGAAGACCCAAGATCTGCCTTAGTAATATGAAGTTTTGCCATTCTGACTTTTAATGTAGAGCTTCTTGGTGATCCTACACGTGTGTGGTCTCATGCACTTAATTAAAGGATGTGGAGATGTGGAACTTTAATATAGCTTCCTTCTCTAAAACATTTATATTTCAAATGAATGGGGTTAATAAGTTCAAAAGATATAAACGGAACGTGTGCTTCAAATAGCCCGTCATGAATATCTTTTCTTCTCAGCTGCTTGGGTTTTTATTCTTTTTTGAGGTCATTGCTGGAACAAAGACTTAGTTCTGAAAGTACTTAAAACACTAATTAAAAAAATAAAAAGGATTTTAAAATGTAATTTCTGAAAATTAATCCCTACAACCTGCTTCCAAAATTTTCTTGACAAACACGGTCCTTGTTTTAACACAGAATTTCCTCATGTCACATGCATATAAAGAACTTTTTAAAAAAATATGCAAAATTACGTTTTGAAGCCTAGGATTTGCATCTAGTAACAAGTAATTTACTGCATATTATTTTCCAAAAATAAAGTCTCACAGTGGCTCTAAAAGAGACCTTGCATGCATATATTGTTCAAATGTTCCTCCTCAAGGCCAGTGAAGAGTACTGCACCCTGTAATTAGCACAGTTTACTGGGACAATTTCTGTGCTCAGCGCGTTAGGAAATTACTGCCATAATACTAGGCTCTTAAAGAATATCACAATTTCTGGTTTTAATTTTTTTCCGGAGCTCTAATTTTTTCGTTTGCCTTCTTTATTAACAATGCTGCTTAGCACTCGTGTAACATTTTCCATTGATAGAGCTCAAAACTTTCCTGTGAGGGCAATCAAGCATCGCTACCTCTGTTGTGCACTGGAACAGTAACAGTGGAGGAATAAAGATCCCATTGCAGCAACCTTTAAGTAAGGACTATTAATTTACTCAGGACAGATATATCTTCAGTACTTTGTTGAGTCAGGCCTGAAGATTAAATAATTTGCAGATCACAGGCTGAGTCATTAGCAGATTTGGGAGCACAATTCAGACCTCTGACTCCTTACAATAAACTCGACTTTTCCATGTTAAGTGTTAACAATGATTAACTAAATGACAAAAGTTTTGCTGTTCTTGGTGTAGTGCCCTCCTTTGCATTTCAGAGGAATTATTGGGCTCTTGAATTGGCTGTCAAATTTGCTGACTTGGTAACTGGCTGGCTTTCTAAATATATATTAAAGTCTTGCTTTTCCTGGCTATTTCTTTATTATTTTTTTTAATAGAATAAATTTTGTAATCTTACTTATAAAAATAAAATCAACTTTAAAAACAAAATCTTATCAGTCACATTGTACATACTATTAAAGAAAATACATGCAAAGGTAGCAGGACCCAACAGAAAGGGCACTGAGCAAAGAAACAGTTGGCAAAATTTCCCATTTGCTTAAATAAGGTCAAGCTGTCAGCTTTTCAGCTCATTTTACTTCCAGCTCTTACAGAACCCTGTCATCTTAATTTCTCTCTCAATTGTTTTCCGAATATGCAGATGATTATTACTGTATTTACTTCTCTCCGTGAGGGATTTAAACACCAATAAGTTAAATTAATTACAGCTAGATTCAAAGGTCCTACACCCATACTGGAGACTATACATATTCACAGATTTGAAGCCTTACTTAATTATACTTTAAACGTTGTGTCCTGAATCACACACCTTGATCCACCTCACGTAAAAGAGTTATGTTCCAGGCAGGCTTTAAGAATGACAAGCTAAATAACCTTACAGTCAAACACACCTCACAGACTGAAGTTGTAACTCGTATTAGAAAGGCTGCAACGCTTTTTATAGCCAGCTGCCTTAGACAGCTTATTTTTATCTCGATCTTCATGTTTTCATTTCATTACATTATAGGGCTTTCACCTACCTAGCTGGCAACGTGTACTCTTTCATTTAAGACTGTACAAAGTATGCAATCATAGCAACTGTAACTACGCTGCTGATTTTCTTTTGTCATGTCTAAAAGACTGGCCATTTCAGCACCTACAAAAAACAGCTTGGCCCAAAGGAACTTGATAAACCCAAGCCTTCTATTAAAATACCAGCTTCACAGAAGCGTTTTTTTCCTCCCTTATTTTATATTAAAAAGTCTGGAAGAAGTCTCGCGAGTGGATTATCCTTATAAATCTCCGATTTTTGTTTTGTTACTAAACGTCACTTGTTGCTAAGGAAGAACAGAGAAGATCAAAGGACTTTAACAAAACTGGAAAGCTAAAGGTGAGAGCGTTTTGCTTTCTTTCTCATTCTTTCAAGATTTATCACTGAACTACAACAATTGCTGGTTATAGTTCTATAAAAAAGACTGCATGCAGAGATGTGATCCCACTTTGCTACTTCATCCTTAACTCCAAACGTCGAACAACAGCTCAGTTCTCTTTGCTTATCAATGTGAGCATGCATTCAACCAGACTGTTCACAAATCCATACGCAATTGAAGTCCTACGAATTAAAAGAGAGGAGCTAATAGAAGGCATAAGTGACCCAGACCACCTGCTGAACTGGCTGATAGACAATGGCATTTTTTCCCCGGAAAAAAAGATGGTCATGAGTTTCTACAGGACACGAACAGAAAAGAACTCCCGAGTTTTAGACATCCTGATTTCTCAAGGCGAACGAGCCTGCAGGCTCTTTTTTTATCCTTGTTTAAAGCAGGTGGAGCCAAAACTTTATAATGAGATGAGAAAATATGTCAGCGAAGTTAATGACAGCATCAGAGATGCAAGAAGACAATTGGTAGGATACTTACTTGAAAAAGACAAGGTTTGGTTTGAAAATAGGAGTGAAAGGCACAAGGAAAAAAAAGAGACTCCTAGAAGAAAAAAGCAAGATTGGGCTATTAAGACCAGAAAAAAAGAAACCCACCTTTCAAGAGCAGCAAAACCTAGAAAAGGTCGTTCTGATAGAGGCATCTTTGGTGCAGTTGCTAAGGGCTGTCTTTCAGAGATAGAGAAAACACTGAAAGATAATGATATTAACGCACTGAACTCCTCAAGAGAAACCCTTCTGCATGTCGCAGCCGCTAACGGACACCTAGCAGTAATGGAATATTTGATCAGCAGAGGCGCTAAGCCAGATGTGAAGGACAAGAAAGGAAGAACACCACTGCACAGGGCTGCCGAGAAGGGCCACGGTGATGCAGTGAAAGTGCTTCTGCGGTGCGGCGCTTCCATGTACAGCTTGGATACAGAAGGCAAGATGCCGCTTCATGTGGCCGCGCAGAACAGCCACGGTCATGTACTGACGGTGCTCCTGAGGGAAGAGGCAAGAAGCTACAGGAACCAGCACAACTTTTTGCACAGAGCAGCTCTTAAAGATGAGAGCAGTCTGGTGGAAAGGCTTTTAAAGAGCGGTGCCTCTGTTGATGGAAAAGATGAAAGAGGACAGACCGCTCTCAGTTATGCTCTTTCTCAGGGGTTTGAAAACACTGCAAAAGTGCTGCTAGAGGCTGGAGCCAGAGTTGACTCCAGCATGGCTGAAAGAGCCTTCAACAGCAACAACCCATCCATCTTCAAAGTGCTGCTGGAGTATTCTAAAGATCTGCCATCCGACCTGATGGAGTCAGCTCTTTTTAAAGCTGTACAAAAAAATCTGCACGACATTGTAGCAGTTTTAGCTGACCGAGGTACAGATGTGAACGCCTACAACGAAATGCAGTACACTCCTTTACTCCTGGCGTGCGAAACAGGCAAGGCTGAGTCTGCAGAAGTTCTTATCGAAAAGGGAGCAAGTTTGGGTATAAAGACTCCTGCTTCAGACTCAGCTTTGCACTTGGCAGTTCAGGCTGGGGCTGCCCCCATCACAAAGCTGCTCCTGCGCAAAGGGATGGAAGTTAACCTTACGAATCAGGCAGATGAAACCCCGCTCCATGTCGCTGCACTGCACAATAAAGCAGCGTTAGTTAGCCTGCTAGTCAACGCCGGGGCCAAAGTTAATGCTGTCACTAAGGAGCTGGTGACTCCTCTGCACGTTGCAAGTCAGAGAGGTAACACTGACGTTGCCCAACAGCTGTTGCAGCACAAAGCCAGTGTTAATGCTAAGGACAGGCAGTCAAAATCACCTTTACATTATGCTTCTGAAAAAGGAGACGAAACAATGGTGGAGATGCTTCTGGATGCTAACGCTGACCCCAACGCACAAGACAAAGAGAAAAGGACCCCCCTGCACGCTGCAGCTGAGGGAGGACATCTCGGCGTCGTCAGAGTACTGTTGGCTACAAAAGGAAGACTTGGGGTTAAGGACATGCATGGATGTACTCCTTTGCACTATGCGGCCATCAAAGGAAACACAGAGATTGTAAAACTTCTTCTGACATCAGGGAAAAATAAGAATATTGATGACAGAAACATTTGGAGAAAGACCGCACTGCATATTGCAGCGGAATATGGACACGGTGACTTGATAAATTTGTTACTGAGTTACGGGGCAGCCATCAATGCTTTAGACAACAGTAAGGACACTCCTTTGCATTGTGCTTGCAAGGCCGGTCATTTAAATGCTGTAATTTCCCTCATCAACTGGTCACAAGGAGAAAAAGCAAACCTACTGGCTGCTAACAGTCTCAAAAAGACCCCGCTGCAAGTAGCAGAATCTAACAGAACAGAAAATCAGGCCCAAATTGTCGCACTTTTGAAAAAGAAAATGTTAATAACAAGATGAATATGTAAAGCACACATTTTAAAATGTAAATGCAGAGTTATTCTTTAAAATAATTTGGATAGTGCTGTTGCCCAGTATGACTGAAAATTATGTTAGGACAGGCAGAATTAAGTCAGTAATCAAAGGAGGCCACGGAAAAAGCCAAAAGCTGTATCTTAGTGTTGGTCAAGTTCAGATTTACTACAGCTGCTTCTTCATGCTAACAAATCCTGTCACAAGGCTTGATATAATCCAACCAGGAGAGTGGTGGGGCCTCAAAGCTTTGCTACGAGAGTGTTGCTGTCTTCAGGGCACTACTGGGCTCTGCACCAATGTTCAATATCGGCCTGGACCCTCTTTGGATGTGTGTTATACCCTATCTTGTGACTTTAACATAACCTAGGATTATAAAAAATTGATTTCTGTCTTTCATTACAGCATTTGGTTTGTTTTTGTCTCTTTTTAAGCAGAGAGAATGAAATCAACCTACCACATTTTCTGTTTATCAATTTCACTTCGATTCCACCACAAAGATGTTCAGAATAAAAAGGCTGCAACAGAATTTACTGGATCAAGGCAAAGTATTTGTACTGCCATCTCTTGGAACAGAAACATGTTCTCAAGCGTTCTGTGGTCATTTCCTTCCCAGTGACAATGGGCCTTTCACGCTTCCCTTCACTACGTGAACAGAAGCACCAGCACATGAAGGGCCAAATGCTTCTCGCAAAATGGAACAGGTTTAAAAGCATGTGGGGATAAAACTGAGATTTTTATGGCCATGTTACAGTGCTTTAAGGAGAACAACGCAATTCTGCTGCCATCTCCCAGATGAGAGACCTCAGTGCTCTCCATCTGAAAGGAAGGTGTGGGGAGCTGGGGTCGGCCTTTTCTCGCAGGTAACTAGTGATAGGACCAGAGGGAATGGCCTCAAGTTGTACCAGGGAGGTTCAGGTTGGAAATTCGGAGACATTTCTCCTCACAAAGAGCAGTCAGACATTGGGACGGGTTGCCCAGGGAGGTGGTGGTGCTTGGGGACATGGTTTGGTGGTGACATTGGTGGTGGGGGATGGTTGAACCGGGTGATCTTGGAGGCCTTTTCCTACCCTAATGACTCTAGGCTTCTAGGATTGTACTAACAGACGTGACCACACGGCTGGAGGCGAAAGCCACCTCAGCACCACAACGAGGTCCCTCAGCCAGCACATAGCCTTTTGGGGCCGGGCAGCCTTCCCTCACGCAGGGACCTGTCCGGCCATCACCTCAGCCCCATGGGCTTCCAGCCCCACTCACCCTGTGGACATAGAAATGTTTTTGCAGACTTACACTGTATAGAGGAAAGTAATATGGTACTGAGATATGCTTACAGTGATAAGAAAGCTTAGCAGGCAACCTTGTAAAATGCAGACAGCCAGACTCCTTGGAACAATTAGGTGAAAATCACGGTGTTAAGTCAGATAAGTGAAGAAATATTACCACTTCAAGCAGTAAAAACGTCAAAAGAAATTTGAAATTTAACAGGCCAGCAACTGAAGGCTATCTGTGAAGCATCAGATAGATTGTGAATCTGGATAACCCACTCAGTGGGGAAACAGAGGAGGGTCTTGTCATCAAGAAGTACATAAACTGTATTTTGGAGCTAGTAGGTGTGCTCGCGAATAAATTACTACTTCACTGAGAGCCTCACCTGAGCCTCAATTATCGGCTCCGGAGTGTTTCTCACAGCCCCGCCGCCACCTCCCCGCCTCCACCCGGCTTCTCCTCAGGGAGCGCCCTCACCCCGGCAGCCGCGCGTGCGCCGCCGCCATGCTGCCCGCGGCCCCCCCTCAGCCTCCCCGCGCCTCGCGAGAGCCCGCGGCCGCCGTGATGGCGGCGGAGGAGCCTGAGGTGGACGTCGAGGGGGACCCGGCGGCCGCGCCCGGCGAGGGGGAGCCGGGGTGAGCGACGCGCTGCCCCAGGGGGAAGGGCTCCGAGGGGGGCAGAGCCCGGGGAGGGGGGGGGGCGTTCGGTCGCCCCCGTTGTTGGCCGGGCTCAGGGGGGATCGCGGGGATTTGGGGTTCCCTGAGGGGTGCTCGTGGTGGTGGTGTGGGGATGTGAGGGGTCGGGGGTGAGGGTGTAGGGGTCCTGTGCTGTTCGGGCTTCTCTGGGGGGATTTTGATAGCAAGTGATTATATAAATTGCCGGGGTGGTTTTAAGGTAGGAGGCTGTCCGTCAGTGGTGGTCTTCTCAAAGTAAAAACCATTTATTTATAGGAAAATCATCACCTGGGTGAGGTCTGTAAGAGTACTAGCCACCCTATATGCTCAGGTTCTATTAAATCTTATGTACCTATGAGCACTCCTCTAGAAGAAAACATTTTTTTCGTTATAAGGGAGTGCTCTTACCTTATGAGGGAAAAAATGGAGAAATGTGGAGATACCACAAATCAACGGCACTATTAAAAAACATAGTTCCCTAATTGCAAACATAGTTCCCTAATTGCCCATGAATGCCTGGCACCATTCATTTCTGTGTAATTTGCAAGGTCCCTCCTGCCTGCAGTGTTTTTGCATGAGATTTTTTACTACTTGGGGTTCCAGTGGTATCTCAGACACTTCAGAGGTGAGACGTTGCTACTGAGAGCATTAATAAAGATGGTGAGGGGGGTTTATGCCGTGTGTGATCATGGAATCATGGAATTATTGAGGCTGAAAAGACCTCTAAGATCATCTGGTGCAACCTTTAACCTAGCACTGCCCCTTATCCCTTGGATCTCGTGGAGTATTATGAAAGAGTAACGTTACACAATGGTCTGCAATGGATGGCTTTTAGTTTTAGTATCTCGTTCTGCCATCTTCTGTTAATGATTTTATTACTTAACTGTACGTTTATTTTAATTCTGACAGCATTCGTTTTGTTTGAACATATTTGCATTGGTTTTGAACACTGGATTTTTATTTTATTTTTTTCAGAGAACATGAAAGTACAGCTTCAAGCTTGCTGCAGGACCACTATCTTGATTCATCTTGGAGAGCTGATAACAATCTTGTAAGTAATTCTAAAACGAACAGTACTTATAGCAAGGTTATCACAGCTTCTGTTTTCTCTATTCTCTTACATGCTACATGTTCTCGTATGTGCTCTTTTAGAATCTATATTGATTCTTGGTACTCAAATAACAGCGTGACAGAATTCAAAGATTAAGAAATACTTGTATTATTTGCAGCCGTGGACATTGGATAGCAGCATTAGCGAAGAAAACAGGGCTGTCATTGAGAAAATGTTGCTGGAGGAAGAGTATCCTTTTCCTGATGTGCCTTTATGACTTTTTTTTTTCTGTGTGACAACAGAAAACTTCTTATTTCCAAAGGAAATGGACAAATTCACATTTCCTTGTGAATGCGACTGAAACACTGTCACCTTGTAGGCAGTAGGCGGATTACAGGAGTCAGAGAGGATCCCTTAATTAAATGATACAGCTACCCCTAGCTTGCACTGATGCTGCAAAGTCTTTGGCTTCTTCACAGTCTATTGACAATACCTAAAAATAGTCACAGTTACATAGTTTACTGGTTAGAAACTTAATGTTCTTGGGTAGTCACATGGGAGGGAGGAAGAGACAGCTGGAAAGACGTTAAGGTAGTGGCAGGGATGACTTAAACTACAGAATTTGTAGGCCTTATGTAGGTAGCACAAGTTCTTCTGACTTGTTCTGCACTTGCGCTGTTCACTGTCTGTTTTGTTTTGTTTTGGTCTGGCTACGTGTATACTTTGACAGGAACCAAGATGAAATGGATGAAATGAGTAGAAGGAACAGCTTCTTTTTTTTTTTTAAATTATTTATTTATGTATTTATTTATTTAAGTTTTGGCTGAAATATTCTTATCATTTCTAGTGTTTCTGGCCTAAGTTGACCTCAGCATTCAAGGGTGGTGAAGGTAGTACTACTTGTGGACCAATTTATATTCATGTTCTTTTTGTGATTGAGTAATACTCAGTAATAAAAGAAACAAGAAAATAAAGCAACAGAATCAATTATTGAGGATTAATTTGAAAACAGATAAGGTATCAGTACAAAGAGAAGTACTCAGTATGGTTTCTACACCAAAAAAGAAAAATTCTGTTGTGGAAGCAGGATACCTAGTTTACTCAAAGTAAAGCGAGCATGTGGATTCAGAAATCAAATACCCTTTCCTTCTTTGTTACTAGTGGGAGTATGTGAAATACTGTGTATTTCAGTTTTGAAAGCCATATGTGCGGTATTTCTACAACAGAATGATTATGAACCAGTGTAATTTATATAGTTTTTAGAATTCTCACATGTACTGCTATTTTTTATACTTTGAAAGCTTTCTTAATAACAATTTCAGATATTATTTATCTAATAAATCACTTTCTGAGAAAATATGGCTCAATCAAAAGGAAGCAGAGAAAAGATCTATGAAAAGGTAAGCTGTGTTCTAGAAAAACATCCTCAGATGATAAGGAACTAAAAGTCCTTCTACAATAAGGTTACTTGCTGAGATATGCAATAGCATCACAATTACTAATTTTAATTTCATTCTGTTTTGTATTTGCAGTCCACATAAGAAAACTGGAAAAGTCATGTACGTACACATTAATAAGAGCATTATTTTTTATTAATTTTATAAAATTTTTATACATTTTATTGATTTTATAAACACTTTAACTGAGTCACATTTTTCAGTGTGGCTTCTGATTTTTTAAGATATAGTACCTAAAAAGTAGTTCCACAAGATTAAATTATCTGCACAAAATTATTTAAGGGATCTTTCAGAACACAGAAATGTTGTGTGTAGTAAGAGACCTGTAGTAAAATGCATACATATATACATATATATGTATGTGTTTTGTAGCACAGTGGTCCTTATATTTTAAAAAAAAGTGTTGATTCAAGTGGGCTTTCTTGCCTGAACTTCTCTGTTTACTTGTTCTATGTACTTCTGCATTGTTAGTTACTGACAAATGTGTTGGTTTGAATCTTCCTTTGTGTTAGAGAAATTGACATAATTCTCAATGTTCAGCCACATTCATGCTTAAAACAGTACCCTGAGCTTTACAGGAGATGAGTATTAGTCCTCTTGTCAGAAGTTGTCTTCAGTTACTGGCATTTGAGAATGCTTTTAAGAAACCACTAACTTCGGTTTCCTTTTTGTTCTAGGGTGCGATCACCTACAAAATCCACTAGCTACTCAGTAAAGTGGACATCAGAAGAAAAAGAACTGTTTGAACAAGGACTGGTATGTTTGTGTTTATATGTAATATCTTGTTTAGATATCATTAATTTACCTTCATTAGAAAAATAGTAATAAGTAAGCTTGTTATATTTATCTGCTTCTGCTTTTTCACTTCTAATTTGCTAAAAATAATTGCCACCTACTAAGGGTGTAATGATAAATCAGATTTATACTGATGAGTTGCCAAAAATGGTTCTGTTTACCAGATTTTGTTTGTGTGATTACAATTTGAGATCACAAAGTATCTCAAACATTTAGCTTTATGAATTGTATAATCATATTGCTGTAGTTAATTGCTTGCTACATTCTGTAGTTAAAGCAAGTCAGCTAATAAAGTGAAATCTGTTAGCTAGTATTGCTAGATCTTTAGAGATGGTATGCTTGTACGGTGTTGAATGAAGTAGGGTTTGATTCAGCAAGTACAAATTTATTTCAGCAGGATTCCTTGAGTTAACAAGCAACATAATTTATAGCATGTCTGTACTGAGTGAAGAACAGCAATAATTCTTCCTGCTAGATGCGCTTTTTTTCCTTGGTAGAATATGACTAGTGAGATTCTTGGGTTTAGTTGTACTATTTGTGTGTTTGTAATGAATGATTGAGTTTTTAAATCCTTCTTGGACATTAACATTACAGACGTTGCACTTTGAGGCTGGCTAACTTCACTGTGCTCTGTACTAGGTCAAGTTTGGCCGCCGGTGGACAAAAATTGCCAAGCTGATTGGAAGTCGCACTGTTCTACAAGTAAAGAGCTATGCTAGGCAGTACTTCAAGAACAAGGTAAGCAGTATCTCAAGTATGCTGTTGTATGAGTAGTTTGGTTTTCATCTGTTTTCAGGGTACTGCTGTCAAAGTACCTAGTCTATTTATTTTCATATTCAGAAAAGTAGAAATGCTATTTGCAGTTTTAAACATGAAATTAGAATTTCAAATTCCTAGAAAGACTCCAATATTTTTATTGCTGGCATAACTAAACAATGTGTAGTATAACTGTAAGTTCTTATGCTGTTGATTTTTAGTCTGAAAATACTCATTTTCCACACTATAGCTTTACTATGTGAACTACAATGAACCACGTGTTCATTGTAGTTTTAGCTTTAGTTGCATTTGAAATTTTAGGGGCTTTTTGGAATTACTCCTACTAGAAGGAATTTAAAACTACTACTATTACTAGAAGGAATTACTACTGTCTGTTTCTGAACTAAACTAAATGGTGGTAGAGTTTGGCTAGTATACCTATAATGCTGTGTAAAAGTTGACTGGAATAGATTAAAATGTGTTTAAAAAGTTAGAAAGTAACTAAAAACTAGTAACTAGAAAGTTAGAAAATAACTAAAGAAAGTTAGAAAGTAAAATTTCAATGAGGAAGAAACACCTCAATGTTTTTCTTGATTTTTCTGAGATGATGTTATACGTAATACTGAGTCAGCTTGTTTACCTGCTGGCAGTGCTGATTGTGGCTACCTGTTTCAGTCATAAACCTTTGTCAGCCTATCAAACACCTCTTTTCAGAACATCTGTCTGCTTTTCAAGTAAAATAGTTCTGACTCTTTGGGAGGCAGAGGGGATTGTTTTTGTTTGT